TTTAAATACTACTTAATATCTACAGCACATACTAAAATTTTTGTCCAGTGTAGCGTATTATACTAAACATATTTTTCGAATTGTTCTAGTTTAAAAATACAAAAAAATATGTGGATATTGATTCAAAATTATGTTATATATATAACAGCGAACTAACCCTGTTCGGAACACCCTACATTACATTGTAATCATGCCGTTAATATGTTTTTGTGACGTTAGATCACAACACTTGTTTGTATTTTGTTTTGTTTGTGGTTTATTTGTTGCGTTTGTTGTTGCTCTTGTGATTATGAAGTAGATTTCTCTTGTTTGATATATATGTTTATATTGTACTTTGGACTTTCTCTTTGGCGTGGTATAAAGTTCTTTGAGTACTTAAGAAAACTGCCTTCAAATTAAATTGGACATTAAATATTTATTATCAGAATGATTAATACTGGAAAATTAGCGGGACGTACTCTACTCATAACCGGCGCGTCTCGAGGTATAGGAAAAGCAATTGCATTAAAATGCGCTAAAGATGGAGCAAATATAGTTGTTTGTGCTAAGACTGCCGAACCACATCCTAAATTGCCCGGCACAATTTACACAGCTGCTGAAGAAAGTGAGTTTATATTAGTAAAAATGATCCAAACAAATGATTGAATGTATAAATTTTCAGTTGAAAAGGCGGGTGGAAAAGCTTTGCCATGTATTGTAGATGTGCGTGATGAGGCACAAGTGCGAACTGCTGTATCAGAGGCAGTAAGTAAATTTGGTGGAATCGATATTGTAGTAAATAATGCTAGTGCAATATCTTTAACACCCACACTTGGAACTGAGATGAAACGATACGATTTGATGCATAACATTAATACTCGAGGTACTTTTCTTGTATCAAAGGAATGTTTACCCTATTTATTAAAGAGCAATCACGCACACATACTCAATATTTCGCCACCACTTAATCTAAATCCAAAATGGTTTGGACCACACGTTGCCTACACAATGGCTAAATATGGCATGTCAATGTGTGTGTTGGGTATGGCACAGGAATTTCAGGATAAAAACATTGCCGTCAATGCGCTTTGGCCGCGTACTGCTATACAAACAGCTGCAATTGAAATGTTAACAGGAGCGGAAAGTGCACAATGGTCACGAAAACCTGAAATAATGGCAGATTCTGCATATGCGGTTCTTGTAAAAGAACCGCGTCTTAGCACTGGTAAATTTCTAATAGACGATGAAGTACTTGCAGAAGCAGGAGTTAAAGATATGACGCAATATGCCTGTAATCCGGCTAACGCAGATAAACTGATGCCTGATTTCTTCTTGGATGGCGAAGAGGAATCAAAAGGTGGTGCAATAGATGCCCCTGCTTCTGCTTCTTCAAAAGGCAAAATACCACAGGTGTTTGAAAAAATCAGCACACTTTTGTCAGAAGATATTGTAACAAAAACTCAGGCTATTTATCAGTTTAATATTGAGGGCGACGAAAAAGGTACTTGGTATTTAGATTTGAAGAATGGTGTTGGTTCTTGTGGCAATGGTACACCTCAACATACGCCTGATGCCACGCTAACAATGAAATCTCAAAATTTCTTTGATATGTTTGCGGGCAAATTAAAACCAGCTCCCGCGTTTATGTCTGGAAAACTTAAAATCGCTGGTGATTTACAAAAAGCCATGAAATTGGAAAAACTAATGAAAGCTTTGAAAACAAAACAATAGTTTCTGTTAACTCGGCCAGGATCAACAGCGGAAACATTTCTGCAAACAATTATAATACTTCGGAATTAGGAAATAGTGTTTGTTTTCATTTTTTAAAAAACACGAAGAATATTTTTTTATGTAAAAATATTTGGTTGAAGAAATAATAAATTTTTCTACAAATTATCAAAGATTCTAATACCACATTTATTATCTATTTGGAGTAATATGCAGCTAATTCTGCTTAAAAAAATAAATAAATAATCAAATCAGTAATTAAGAATTAATTTGGTTGCCTATACTACTTTCTGTTTCCAATCAATCACAATATGTCGTTGTGGTTCTAAATACTTCAATTTCCAGAACCGCTATTAATTTAATACAATAAAAACAACTAAAATGAAGTCATATAAAACGCAAGCTACTTGAACTATAAGAGAACTTTGATTTCATACTATTTTGTATTACAAAAACAAAAGTTTTTCTATTTACATATGTATATATTATATATAAAAGAATTTTTGTTTTTATATTATTCAAATTATAATACATACTTACCTCTGCTCACATAATTCCTAATTAAAATTTCAAGAGAGCTATATGCGCTTCCCTACTCTAGAAGCAGATTTAAAAATCTTCACGAAATGGAAGACTAGTCTATAGTAAAAAATCAAAAATATTGAGTTAAATATTTTCCTAGTTTTACGTCCTCTATTTATTGTTATTATTTTAGTATACATACGAAAATATTTAAATACCCTATGGAGATAGTTTAATTTAAACGGACTTCAAATTTCCTAATTTTATTCGACTTTCTTACTTTTATGTTCAACACATATTAGCATTGGTTTATTCAATTATATTATTCTTGAATAAATATTCCTCATAAGTATCTTTATCTGATACTCGTATATACTATAGAGTTGCCTGATATAAATTTCGACGCAACAGATAATATTACTAATGACTATGCAGAATTTTCGTAATTGAAAAAACAATTATTTTCTTCAAAAAAAATATCAAAATTTTATTGGTAGTGTTTAATACAAAAAGCAACCAGCATTAATTATATATTTCTGTTATAACTTCATGCAGCTTTCGATATTAATAATGAATACTTTCTGATATATTAAATAACTCATAATTGATTAATAATGATAGTTCTAAGCTAAGTTTCTTATAGTGAGAGTGAAGATTCTTATATCCATGATTTATATTATTGTGTTTTATAAACAAAATGTAAATAAAATATTAAATCAACAATTGCGAATTTAGTATGCAACACTATCTTTGTTTTCTACTTCTTACCGAGCAATTTATTCATTTCTTTATTTTGCTTAGTCATCTTAATATCAACGTCTTCAATTTTATAATTCATATTATCTAATAGTTCATTCTGTGACTCAATTTCGCCACCTAAGTCTGTAGCTAAGCATTTTAAGCGTGATAAATTGCCACACATTTCTTCGAGATTTGCTTCCAACTGCATTTCGAAAGGGTTATTGCGTCTTTGTTGTTGCATTTGTTCTCTTTGCTGATATATAGTAGAGTCATTGCGTATGCGACTTATAGGATGATCATCATAACGCTCTGTTGGTGACATTGCAGCTTTCTCGCTTGGCATTCCACTGTTTGTATTTGTGTTGGCGGTTGATTCCTGACTACCAGTAGGTGACAGAGTTGAACGTGGAGACTGTGCTGGATCACGGTTTCCTGCTAAATAATTTTTCAGTCCACCAAAAACACTTTTTAATCCATTTAAATGACGTTGACTAAAACGTAGTGTGGAATTGATTTCATCTAACTGATTTGATGTTTTCTCTAATTGTTCCCTTTGTTTTGCGAGTTCAATAGCAGTAGCCTTTCCCACTTCTTCAGTTTCATATAAAAGCCCTGTAAAAAATAATACAAATATTATTTAATACATTAGGTCTACAAATACAAATGTGAACATTCACTTACCTAAACTTTTCTGTGTGGAATCAATTGTACGTGCTTCAATTTGACGACGTTTTTCTGCATATATTTGCGTTTGGTCCTCGAAAGGATTTGTACTACGCGTTTTAACACCAGTGCTACTATGACCAGAGACTCGACTATTAGTGCGAGAACTATTCAGAAAAATATCATCATCAACATCCTCTAAGTCTTCACCATTTAAGTCAAAGTGATTATTCACTGGCTGCAGATAATTATCAGCCATAATTATTTAATTGCACACGTATTTCCAGAAAATACTATTTAATCAAATGTAGTTGTTTACACTTTAGGTACGACTAATTGAAAATTTCAATTCTATTCTATTTAGTTTTTTAATATAAACAATTGGATATAAGTACTGTTTTTATCTAAAATGAATTTTGATATTTGCTTCGACCTAAAAAATATTTTTCTTCTACATACTCCCCTTTGTTTTGATGATTAAAAATATTATGACAGCAACAAAAATACCAAATACCAAAAGTGTTCAATTCACAATAACGTAATTAAATCTTTTCACAAATATATACGTAGAAAAAGCAAGATTTTTTTTAAAAATATATATTAATGCGTATTTTTTCACAATTGTATCATAAATATTTAAATTATTTCAAGTTTCACTAAATATTTCTTGAATTATTTCTCAATTGAAAAGTACACTGTTTTTTTCAACATCATTAATTTAACACATATGTCAACTTATCGCCTACCGACTTATAAAGAAATGTTTTGAAATCATTTTAATTTAAAGTAATTTATTATGTTTTAGTCAAGCGTTGTATTAGTATATTTAACTGCTTAAATTGATTAAGGATTAAAAAATTCATTTGTTTTATGGGTCCCTTTTAAAAACTGAGAAAGAATGTCCGAAGCCAACGTATTATAGCGATTAAACATTTCTGCTCTTGTTGTCAGTTTACTGCTAAATGACAATAAAGAATTATCAAATATAACAAAATTACACATTATCTCTGGTATATTATAATGACAATTTGAAACTAAACTATTTTAAACATATAACTTTTATAACAAATATAAATTAATTCATGTCATATAAAATACTGACATTAATATACGTCCTCATATCCAACCGCTGACTCATTAGATTTTGTTTAATATAAACAATATTACGCATATTGCAAAGCCAATATATCTAAAAGGCTTTCATTACTTAATAATTAATAATTTACTAATCATTACAGTTCTTGGAATTGAATTTATACAATTTTGATATACCAAATTTTCCATTATTTTGAATTTTTCAAAATGCTGAATTCTATTAAATTGACTATACAAAATAATTCACAATATAACTTTACAATTCAATATTCACAATGAAAATCCGCACTTTATTATTATTTTGGCGCCAAGTGTTTAGTATGCATTGGTTTTAGTTTTGCTGATTCAATTTCGTAATTTTTAATGCTAAATTAAAATAAAAATGGTGTTCCAAAGAAGTTGCTTGCGCTATGCGCATACCAGTGGTCACACAAGTCTAATATATACCAAAGATGGTGAATCTATTATCACTTGTGGTTCAGATGGAGATATACGAAAATGGAAAGGTATAGACGACGATGATCCAACATCTACTTGCTTAGGAGAATTTGTAATATGCATTGCTGATATAGGAGATAAACTATTAGCTTCAACTGATCTTAATACACTGCAATCGTATACTTATCCTGATATAGAAAAAGCTGGTACTTTGTTACGTTTTACTGCGCCAGTCACCTGTGTGTGCATTAGGGACATATACACTGTTGCTGGCTCCGAAGACTGCTTTATTAAATATATAAAGAACGGTGACATTAGCACCGAAACTCAATTAGAAGGTCACGAAGGCCCTTTATTGGCACTGGATGTCAGTGCTAAAGGTTTATTGGCATCTATTGCTGGTGATGGTTTACTAAAAATATGGGATCTAAACAGCGGTACTGAAGTAAAAACCATAAACGGTTTAATGAAGACAAATAGTTTTGAGCGTGCGGAGTGTTTAGGCACTCCTGTTTTTGAACCAGAAAATGGAAACTCATTGGCGTATGTGCAAAAAAAGGAAATTTATGTTTTGAATACAAACAATTGGGAATTGCAATTTAAACTCACTGACGAACGAAATAAAGGCAACTATAGCTGTTGTCAATTTTCGAAGGATGGTCAATTTATTGCTGCAGGTACAACTGAGGGTGAAATAAATATTTTTGATTATGCACGCAAGCAAAGCATAAAGTGCGAAACGCCATCGTCAGAGTGTCAAGCAATCACTTGCATTGCTTGGGATACTAAAAATAATTTGGAGCTCGCTTATTGTGACGCTTCAGGACAATTGGGTACACTATTTTCTAGTGGTGTTACAATATCCGATGTAGCTAATGACGCCGAAGCTGATGAAGTTGACTTTGAAGATATCGATTTCGAAAGAAATAATGACGATGTTGTTGCGGGTAGTGACAACGGTTTCAATGACAATTATGATGATGATGAAGATGTTGATGGAGTCTCAATTGAAAAACTAAAGAGACAGGTAATGAAATCATCTGAAACTTATATTAATGGTGGCCTTACAGGTGATGAAGATACAAAAGATTCGTTAGCTAAATCTGTGCATAATGCAGATGTCGACGATTATGACGATGACAAACATAATTATGTAGTAAAGACTTACAAACAACAAGAAGCATTTCAGCCAAGTTCTACACCCAGCCACCTTGAGCATAGATATTTAGCGTGGAATAATGTTGGCATTGTTACTGCACACTCTGATGGTGCTGATGGTTCCATTGACGTTGAATTTCATGACACCAATATACATCATTCACTACATATAACAAATTACAGTCAACATAATATGGCTAGCCTAAGTTCAACAGTGTTGTCGCTTTCAGCTGAGGGTTCATCAAAATTGGTGTGTATTGCCTTAGCAGCATCTGGTAATAAAGAGTGGTCAGTTACACTACCAGATTGCGAAAGTATTGAAGCTTTAATAGCTACAACTAAAATTGTTGGTGTAGCTACTAACAATCATTATTTACGCCTTTTCACAGTTATGGGCACCCAACGTGAAATTATATCTATTCCTGGTCCTGTTTTAGCGTTAGCTGGATATAAAGAACGCATAATTGTGTGCTATCATAGTGCACCAGCTGGAGAACATAAGCAACAACATATATCCGCAATGCTGATACAAACTAATGGTTTAAGTTTACGAACCCAACATTTGCCAATACCTTTGCCTGCAGAGCGTAAAATGACGTGGTTAGGATTCACTGATTGTGGCTCTCCTGTTTTTACAGATTCAATGGGGCTTTTGCAGTTATTTAGTTTAAAAAGTAATTGTTGGTATCCTATTTGCGATAGTATGAAACAGAGTCAAAGCGTTTCGAATAATTACTTCATTATTGATGTATCCGAGAGAAGTCAAATCGTGCAAGCAGTACTATGCCGAGGTACATCGTATCCAATGACAAATCCACGTCCAATGATGCAAGAACTTAATATGCGATTACCTCTCTGTGATATGGATTCAGAAAAGTCAGAACTTGAAGATGCACTTATACGCGCCTCTTTCATGAACGTTGATGGAACTGATAAAATAATTAAAGAGAATGCCATTAAATTATTTGCATTGGCTTGTCGCACCGAAATAGAAGCACGCGCAAAAGAACTGATAGAAACGATTGCTTGTCCAGATATGCTACTTTTAGCTGTTAAGTATGCCACCAAGCTAGGTCGTATACATTTGTCTGACAAATTATGTGAATTGATGCCGCAAGTTGAAGAACAAAAAAATCAACGGGAAAAAGATGTAGCTAACGAAAATATACCGGAGTCACCTTTAGCCCAACTAAATGCAGAAAACTTTGTAGCGAAAAGCAGTAACACTCCAACTTCTACAACTAATTTGGCGCCAAAAAGTATGGAATTAAGTTTAGTCAAGCGTGTTTCCTTAAAACGGTTTGTTGGCTCGAATACCCCGACAGGTTTAAAGAAGTTTTCTTTTGGACCTCATTCAACTGCAACAACACCTACAAATACACAAAATTCTACTACTTCAGACTTAGACATGGAAATGCAGGAAAATGCGGAGGTTTCTTATTCCGAATCTAAATTGAGCAGCAGCGATAAAGATTTAACGCGCACACCGCTGAATTCAGTGAATCCGTTTGCAGCAAAACGTAAGATATCTGACGTAGATGGTAATCAAAAAGGTTTTGTATTTGGTTCGGATAAGCTAAAAATGATTAAAAAATAAGTTGAAAAAAACAAATTTTTTATGTTAATTAAGTAGTTATAAGTGTTATTTTAAAATATAATTAACAATCAATAAAAACCATAAGTTGCACTTAAATTTATTTATTTTAAATTTAATTGTTAACCGTAATATATACAAGGTGTACAATAATTTTCATATAATAATATATTTGATATAATAATATTTTCAATATAATAATATTTTTTAAATAATAATATTTTTTATATAATAATATTTGTCATATAATATTTTTTTACAATAATATTTTTTATAACGTAATAACCCGTATTTATTGTTTTTTCATAAAACTTTTGTTTTAAATAGAAATTATACGCTTCGTTTCGGGAATAAAACCATATTTCATAGTTAGCTTAGGTTATACCTGCGATCCCTAATGATATTTCATCGTTACTAATAAAGGACGCTACTTTTTTCCGTTAGAAGAGACGGAGGGTTAGGGTTAGAAGAGAGATCCACCTACATTGACAATATAATACATAACACAAAAATTTAGTAAGCTACAAAACACTGCCAGAAGAAATATTGTCTAGGTAGAGTGATTTAGGATATAAAGCCGTCCATTTAATGATATGATAGAGTGACAGTCTTGTGTACCAAAAAAGCCATCTGGAGCTCAAATAATGGCCCGTTGTGGTATAATGATATAATACATAACACAAAAATTTATTGAACTGTCAAAAAAATTTTTTTTGGATATATTGTCCCTGATTACACCACTAACCAATACACATAAAATTTCGTTTATTATAAATAGATTAAATCTTGATTAATAAATCAAAACTTACCAAATGCTAAAAAACCAAAGTTTTACTTTCTATTATGTTTTTCAAGATATCGAACTAATTCTCGTGCCTTAAAAATGTCTATTTTACACCTTTTATTTGCTCTTAAATCTCTAATTAATTAATCTATCTTTATTTAATACCACGACTCTGATTATTAAGGATAATGGTGTTAACCATAATGTATGTCTCCTAATCTAACGCGGACATATTAACAGTATTGATACACTTAACAAAATTCATTATTTAAAACTCTAATTCTCATTTAACTTAATGAAAGCTAGATAAAAGTACCGGATACATTTCTTGTATCCAGTCGTAAGCTTTGCTCGACGTGATGTTCTTGATAAAATAGCACAGCTCATTTAAAAACTTACCATTAATTTGGAAAATACTGTCTCAAAAGATTCCAATGTGACTATCATGGGTGCAATAGAAATAAATCTGAAAGTCTAGACAATTTTTAAACAACAACGAATTGTAAATAAAATCTGCGCAGTGAATTTATATAATAAATTTAAAACATAAATACCCGAAAATTTTATAAGTATTTTTAATATACACCTTAAAATATATAGGGGCCAATGATATTGATAGCAAATTTCAAAAAACAAATTGCTTTTCGTTCTTTTTTCTTTTGTACTCATGTTCGATAAGCTTTAATAGTTAAAGTTTTAAACAGTTAAGATATTAACTATTATAGGTTAATAAATTATTATACATAGTAATTAAAGATGATGGCAGCTCTGTTTAATTTAATCACCTGTTATAACCTCAAACTTGCAGCTGATCATTGTTATTAATTCAAAAATAACTATACGAACCGAAATGTTTAAAAGTTCTAGACAAATTAATATTAAATTATTATTTAACATTTGCATGTTAATGCAAAAACAACAAAAACCGCTGCTACGAACAATTTTGACACAACTGCAAGGAAGTAGAGCATCATGCCGTCATTATACAACACAGCCAGCATATGTAAAGATATTCGATAGAAATGCAAAAAAACTACAAAAAGGAGCGGGCTGCCATAAAGTGAACAAATATTATAAAATGATTTAATCGTATGCTATTTACATATTTATTTTACAGTCCAAATGTAGAGCTTTATGACTATTTAAAAGAGGAAGTTGGATTTCGTTTAGCTGATCGTATATTCGATATAAAGCGAGAAATCAAATGCGCAGCTGACATTGGTTGCAATCGTGGTTTTCTGTCGAAGCACGTATTGGCGGAAAGTGTAGGCCATTTAACATTATGTGATACAAGTCCGACAATGCTAGCGCAAGCACAGGGAACACCGGGTTTAAATATGACAAAACTCGAAGTTGATGAAGAGCAATTGGAAGTGAGTTTAAAACCTTTAAAATGTCTTACCAAATTTATAACACTCTATTAATACATAATTGGTTTATAGTTTGAGGAAAGTTCATTGGACTTAGTGATATCAAGCTTAAGTTTGCATTGGGTAAATGATCTACCAGGCTGTTTTACAAAAGTTATTAAAAGTTTAAAACCCGATGGAGTATTTATAGGTTCTCTTTTTGGTGGTGATACATTATATGAGTTGCGTGGAGCATTACAGTTAGCCGAATTGGAACGACAAGGTGGCATCGCTCCACATATATCACCTTTCACACAAGTATTATATTAATTTATCATATTATTTGTGCGATTTTATTTAAAAATTTTATTTTAATAGATACGAGATATAGGAGCTTTACTAAATCGAGCTGGTTTTACCATGCTTACAATTGATACAGATGAAATTGTTGTTGGATATCCATCAATGTATGAGCTAATGTGGGATCTTAAAGGTATGGCAGAAAATAATGCTGCTTTCAATCGTCCTGCACATATAAGTAGAGACACTTTAATGGCAGCTAGTGCAATTTATAAAGAACTGTATGGAAAGGTAAAAACAGCTTTTAGTTAAATAAATACTCATTTGTTTTATGCACATTTCCGTTTTTATAGGATGATGGTGTTGCGGCTACATTTCAAATAATTTATTTTGTTGGTTGGAAACCAGCCCCACATCAACCGAAACCATTACAACGCGGTAGTGGTGAAGTTTCATTAAAAGACTTAGGAAAAATAATTGAAAGCGGTAGTACAAAGATGAAAGATAAAATCGATAAAAAAGATACAATAGAAACAAAGTAATACTTAATAATTAAGAAAATAAATAAATAATGATAAAATAAATTTTATCATGTAGTTAATTTTATAATATAGTTCATTCTTAAATATTGAAATAATATCGTAGTGGTAGGTGTTAAGTCGGTGAAATATATTGTGTAACATCCCCCAATTTTATCTACTTACATACTGCTATTGTTAACAAATTTATGTGGTACTTTTATCTAGTTTTGAATAAACCGAATGACTTTTAGAATAAAGAATAAAAATAATAAATTTAAGAGCAGATGAGGGCAAAGGATTTAATAGTAGGTGAAATATAATAAAAAGAAAAAAGTGATGTTAAGCTATTTGGAATTTTCTCAAGTCGCAACATACTAACTGGATTTAAAACTATTCTAGCTCGATTATGGGTGATTCAACTATTTGCGGAAAAAAAAAAATTTACTATAATAAATTAGTTGAAAAAACCAAAAATTTACTCATTTAAATATATATACCACAAAATGTGAGTCTTCTATTTCGCACTTGATGAATCGTATGTTATGTCCTATGTTAAGTCAATTTTGTTGTAGTCGTTAGTTGGGATGTATTCTTATACTTGTATTCATTTTGTTGCGTTCTTTTGCCATTTTGTATATATCTAACTCAAGAATAAATTAGTTGTATGTGAAACTCTGAAATTTAAAGTGCGTTTCCTTCTTGTTTTGTTGAAGCTAAAGTTTTTCCAATAAAGTTATAAAGAAAAAACTAGTAAAGTAAATAGTTTTCGTCATCCTACTTAACGATCAGATTTTTAAGATTTTAAATCAGTAAAAGCAAAAAACTCCATCATCTCGGAAATCATCTTCTACTATTACTTTCAGTGTTGAACAAACTTTCCATTCCCAAATATAAAGCAGAGATCTTCTGCTTTATGCATAATTATTTTAGCCTACGCATGAAGAGGGTCAACATATGTATATGCTGTAGAGATGGTTGAGCTTTCCAGTCTAATCTTTTTATTGTTTCTTTATGAAGTTGACATTGCTACTGCACGGACTACACTTAAACGATCAATAGCTTTATGTAAATTTTTGAAGCCATTTCATTCCCTTGAGTTTTATAATAAGAGTATTATAATAGCAATTTCTACTACTTAAGAAATCTGATAAGGGTATGAAGTATGAGTTCTAGATTTATAAATAGATGTTCTATATAGCGAATCCCACTTATATGTGATTTTAACTAACTACTGTCAAACAATATTCTGTTACAGCAAATAGATTTTACTCGAGAGAACAATCATTATATTTCAACAGTGTTTCCGTTGATTCATAGTATACCTGACTGACTGTTTAATCATAACTGTTAATTAGTGTTTTCATAACTGGAAGAAACCGAAGATATTGTTCTTGTCTGCAGGGGCAACCAGTAGTTGGTCGACTGTGCAGTCGAGTGGCTTTAACATGTAGACCTGGACGTTGTTTCGCTTTTGATATATCTGAACATTTGAGTTTAGAACCCGGAGAAAATTATCTACCGCAGGGCATAGTTTTTACTAGTTATATGATTTATAAATGTTAGAAAATAATATGTGATATACTCAAAATATTTGTTTGTATTTTTATATACTTTATTTTTGTTGTGACAACTTAAATTAAAAATAAGATTTTTTAATTATAAATTTTACAGATGTAATATAATTTTATCACTTTGGTTTACAAATTTTATTTAATATTTTCAATAAAGAATTAAAATATATTTAACTTACAGAGTAAGTGTTTACGTAAAAAAATAATGATATCTTATGCGGTGTAGTAGTAGCAGGGGATATTTAATCTAATTTAGCACAAAGTTCTTTTTTGGAATTACTTTATGAATTATATCTTAATAAGTTAATTAAGATATATAAATTGCAATTTGACTTTCAGTAATATAATGACTAATAGAGAATAAGAAACTTCGGAATACGTATTTTTTTATTATTGAAACATTGTTAAAAAAATACCTTAGTTGTGAATTTAATTTAGAAACTATTTCATGTACTGGTTTCGAACGAATTACTTTTGTTGTATTTAATACAATTTTATTCAACAATAATGAGCTTTTCGTTTATTACTTTATAATAATATTGTATATATAACTTCATAAATTGGACGTAACTTTCAACTTCTTTAAATACATTTGACATTTGTTTTGGTATTGATAATTTTTATTTTTTTTATGATAATATTAATATTCTAACAAATTTTGTTTTAAAGGATTTAATACAGTTTTTTATTTTTATAATCAATATAGTTATATATATATAAATACTAGAATTATTTAAATAAACTTAATATTAAAATTTTAAATTTTTAGATTGCTTTTGGAAAGGTCTCATTTTTAATCAAATGTTTAATTTAGTTTATATTTAATTTTATATAAGCTTAACAATACTTGGTATTTTTTATTTTCACTAATATTGTAAATAGCAAATTATTTTTTTACCACACTAATGGTTTAAAGTATTATGTATATGTTTATATTAGTTAACTAAATTTACACTACAAAGTTTTAATAACTTACAATATTTTTAAGTGTTTACGTTTTATAATAATATCAGGGCAAGATTTTTTTACAATAATTCCTTTTTCGATATATTCGAGTTAAAACTTTATATATATATTTAAATAATAAAAAAAAAATGCAAGTACAAATATAAGTAATGAAATTTGGTTATAGATAAAAAATAATGATTTAGTTTTTATTATAATTTATAGATAATTAATTAGACGATTTAAAAATAAATTTAAAAAAAACAATATTTAATAAAATAATATTATTTAAATTTGTACTGTATACATTTGTGG